ACCGTTTTGTGACTGTCCCGCCTTTTTGTGGCCAACTAAGCTTGCTTAGTTGGCCCCCCCCCGGCTCGAGCCAACGGGTATCGAAGTTCGACCATTATCTGCACCTGGCCAAACATGGTTGTTCTGCAGGATTACACCCCATTTCAACGCTACGAGTCTCAAGTATACATCGCTCATAACCCGGAAACCCCTCGTTTTCCTGTCGTTGGGTCCGAGTCTTTGTTAAACCTAACTCCCAAGCATCCGATATGGAGACGTCTGAAACATGCGAGACATTCATCAACCTGCATCAACACGCCCGCTGGCGACCAGAAAGAACACGAAAAACGTCAATTTTTGTATAAAAACAACATTGGAAGTTCAAGGGAAATAACAGGAGAAACATGCTGGCGAAAAACGTGGCGTGCCACTTTGTTACCTGTCACGTAACTTTCAAACGGCAAGTCAACTCGTCAACGACAAACCAACATACATCCGAGATCATTATACGAGTGGCCTGATCCGACTGCTACGCAAACATAACAAGAAAAACCATGGCGAAGGAATCGAGCTGCATAATATTGGCTGATATGCGCCACCACCTACCTACCCTCAGTTATAGGTCATTAATGTATAATAAATGCAGGCTGAATCCTGAATCGCAGCAGTCATTATGTCACGAGACCGAAATCAAATGATTCATTACAGCAGGGCTTGACAGGGGAGACAGCCTTGGGGGTCGGGTTTAGGCAGTGTCCCATATGACATTTTTCAACAGACAACTGCGTTGCAGCTTCAACCCGAGCATTGCTTTATCTGGGCCATGATAAAAAAGCTTATAACCCTGGTAATCCTTGCTGGACCCTGAAAGTTTTATGTAAGCTGGGTCGAGGCTTGGCAAGACATTCTTCGGTATCCCTGATACTAAACCAGTAAACATATGACACACTTGAAGGATTCTTCATGACAGAGACCTTGCAAGGTAATGCGTATTTGAAACTGAATTTTTAATAGTCAAGAGCTGAGATGCCCACTGAGGATATTTGTTCTTGCAGGGGTGCATAAACTGAGCATTGTGCTGATGCTTAGTATGAAGACCTGGACAGCGAAAGCTCCCATTCCACTCCAAGGTATGGGACTCGGAGCTGAAGGACAGAGTCTATCGTCAGATGAATCATCAAGACACAAGTTGAACTGTACTTCTAGTCGGGTGGAATCTTGTTCAATAATAGTCACATGACATAGGTTTCTTGACCACGTCTCAATGCCATTATTTGAGTCTTTGGGAGCGAAGTAACTTCAGCGTAAGAATAGAGTAAGTTTGAAATATTAACCCAAATCAGATCATGTGAAACTACTGATTATTTGCTGTAATACCTTTCTGGAGTCTCTGTAGAGTTATTTCATTAAGAAGCGTTTTTCTACCCCGCGAATAATTGCTGAGATGGGTCGGGGCCCGCGGACGCGGTATCGAAGGGAAGAGTCTGTGTCCCAGCCAACAACGCAATCCGTCACGTTCGGTTAAGCTGAAACAAGCAAACAGGCAGCCAAATTAGTGATTTTCATTTTTTGTGCTAAGTCATTAATGACTTGGCTGTGGCCGAAGAGTAAACTGTAATAAGCAACAGGGTTCAAAAGACTACTCTCAGCTAACGTTAGTGGTAGCTTGAAAAGTGGCCTCGAAAGCAGTCAAAACCAGAGTCCAAAAGAGCCACGTATCCTCAGTTGACAAAAAGAGGGGTTAGCGATTAAACTTGAGAGGTGTCGTGCATAAGACCTACGGACCCCTGAAAGAACCATGGACTGAATTCGTATCTGGTAAAGCCGAGTACGAGAGAAGCCTGAAGGGACATGTAAATCCGGAGGCTGATATTACCTTAACTTCAGAGATATTGGATTGGACTGGCATTGGAATTGGAACGAGCTTGGTGGGGGGTTGATCGACAAGTGGTGAGGGAATGACTGGCTGGACTGTAACTGTACCTGCGTTTTGTGGCTGGGATTAAACTCATGGGAATGAGGCTCAATTGAGAGAGAAGCTGCTCATATTGCATCAATTTGTCGTGTTTATCGACTTGATCAAGTCGTTGGTGGACAATTAATGATCTGGACTGTCCCGTCCCTCCCCGAGACATTGAATCTCAATACTATCTTACCCCTATCACCGCTGAAAAGAACACCTTAAAACTACCGACCTGAACGCTAATCTTTGTGAATCTAGGGGGTTTAGGTGACCCAGCCACCCAATCATATACTGGGGAGTTCATCTGGCCCTTTTTTTTCACACCGCCCCTCCCCAAACCTAGGCCAAAGCTCCCTCCCTTTTTGGGTTCTGCCCCACGAAATCTCCATCCAGTCGTCCTCTTAAAAAATAAACCCGCCTCAGCGACTTTCTCCCTCTTCCCTTTCATCATATTATCTCAAAGCTTTTGGTAGCCATTGGGATCTGTCGTCACAATGGCAGAGAAATCAGGCGTCACCGGCGCCGACTTCGAGTTTGTTAAAACTCCTGCTTATCCCAAGCCTGACTTTGATAAGCTTGAGGATGTTGGAGTTCCTACTACCAGGGTAAGTTTTGACGCTCATGATTGTTGCGTTGTCCTCTTAGATACCAGAGCATCAATGCTGACAACCACCCTCGCAGTATCCTGCCATCAAGAACGCTCCTCTTCCTGCCGATGGCTCTGGTGCCGATACCTTCAACAACTATGTCCTCATCTCAATCCTGACCATTGTCCCTTGGTTCCTCAGCCGAAAGGTTGGCGGTGGACTCAAGACCACCCTCTTCTTCGCCCTCATCGTCGATCTTCCCCTCCTCGCCGCTTGGTGGCTTGTCATCTCCTCCATCAGCCCTCGCAAGAATGAGAAGGTTCGCCTTCCTAACCGTGGTGTTGAGCACTACCTCGAGTTCAAGAAGGAGGCCGACCGCCTCAAGTACCGTGGCCACAACAAGATCCCCATGGAGACCTTCCACGAGATGTACTTTGATGGTGATGTTGACTTCAAGGGTGACTGCCTCGAGGTTATGGAGTACCGCCATGACTGGGCCAGCTTCCGCTTCACCATTGGCCTCATCAAGTTCTTCCTTTTTGGCATGATTCCTGAGGTTATCATGCACACTCGTTCTCAGGGTATGTATTTACAAATGGGCATCGATTGAAAGATAGGCTAACGTATCATAGACGAGGAGCAGGTCCGTGACCACTACGACCGTGGTGATGACTTCTACGGCTGGTTCCTTGGTCCCCGCATGATCTACACTTCTGGTATCATCTCCGACATCAACCGCGAGGAGACTCTTGAGGAGCTCCAGGACAACAAGCTTACTGTCGTTTGCGAGAAGATTGGTCTCAACAAGGGTGACTCTATGCTTGATATTGGTTGTGGTTGGGGTACTCTTGCTCGCTTCGCCAGTGAGCAGTATGGCGCCCACGTCACCGGTGTTACTCTTGGCCGCAACCAGACCGCTTGGGGTAATAGCAGCATGCGCAAGGCCGGCATTCCCGAGGAGCAGAGCAAGATTCTCTGCATGGATTACCGTGATATTCCCGTTCCCGAGGGTGGCTACAAGAAGATCACCAGTCTTGAGATGTCTGAGCACGTTGGTATCCGCCACTTCGGTAGCTTCTTGAAGCAGGTTCACGACATGCTTGACGATGATGGTGTCTTCTTCCTCCAGTACGCTGGTCTCCGTAAGGCTTGGCAATACGAGGATTTCACCTGGGGTCTTTTCATGAACAAGTATATTTTCCCTGGTGCTGACGCTTCTACTCCTCTCGGCTGGGTTGTTGACAAGCTGGAGGGCACTGGTTTCGAGATCAAGCACATTGACACCATTGGTGTTCACTACTCGGCTACCCTCTGGAGGTGGTACCGCAACTGGATGTCCAACCGCGAGAAGGTTGAGGCCAAGTACGGCAAGCGATGGTTCCGTATCTGGGAGTACTTCCTTGCCTACTCCACCATCATCTCTCGCCAGGGCAGTGCCACTTGCTTCCAGATCACTCTGGTCAAGAACATCAACTCCACTCACCGAGTTGAGGGTATTGAGACCCAGTTCGCCATCACCGGAGCTCTTGACAACTGCCGTGCTGATCTTCAGTCGTGGGCTTCCAGAAACAACGTCAAGACTCCCTCCGAGTACCTGTAAAGGTATGGTTGGGAGATTAACAGTGACTGGTCAAATCTTGAGCCGTGCCAGAAACGGCAAGAATTTAATGGGATGTCTTATGATAAGAGGCCAGCCTTGAGTTTTCAGTTACTCATGTGACAGTTGGCTCAGGAAAAGGGAACTGGATCTATCTGCATATTTAACCCGGAATGCGCCCCCTTGACCGATAGAGTCGGCCGAGGCTGGTCCAGTCGCAAAGGGCAAGCTTCATGTGTTTCATGATAGATGTGTAACGGCAGCATAAAACATAAGGAATGGGCATGGATGAGTATCTATATAGATGCTATATAAGGGATGAATTGAAAAGTTTGTTCGTATTAACTCATTTGCCTTGTTATTTCTTTGCCTCTTTCTTGTACTATATGGTTGAGATGTATCATGACTATCGTCGGCATATCATGACATCCGCGGCCCGAAACCCGTGATTTGCTGTGACTTGACCAACCATGCATGAATATATAAAAAGAGTAGCTTGATTTTAACAAGTTTATGTCAATTTATTTCAATTTCATGCTACTATTGTGCTGGACAGAAGATATATGTTCTTGATTTCCTGCAATCCTTATGAGATATTAGACGACCCTTTGAGCCGAGGCTTTCCCAGTGAAATAGTCTGACTTCAGCAACTGATTGCAACTATCAACAACCAACACTGCCACGGACTAGCAACACGTACTCAGGGTCTCCATTCAATTCGATATCAAAAGATTCTGTCATGAGGCCATTATCTATACTCAACCGCCAGTGCGGTCTTGTCTTTCATAGAGCTTATACCACAAAATCATCCTCATCCTTAATCTCATCACTCAAAGCCCATCCACCAAAGATAATACCAGACTATTTGACCCCGATGCCCTCTCATCTCCTCACAACCACAATTAACGACCTTCTATATCCTTCGCCCACGGAGTCAAAGATATCATCCCCTCCTCGTGCCCTCCCTCAAGGCCATCACCTTGTCTACTTCCCCATCCAATTACCCCCCTCGCGTCTCATTCCTGATGGTGCAGATCCTGATCATTCACCTGGGCCGCCTTATACGCGACGTGTGTGGGCAGGTGGCGAGGTTATCTTCAGAGGAGATGAGATGAAGCTTGATGCAAGGCCGGCGATCTGCAAGGAAAAGATCGAGGATGTTACCTTGAGAGGTAAAGAGGGCGAGGAAAAGGTGTTTGTTGATGTGTGGAGGAAATATGGAACTGGCCATAAGATTGAGGGGAGACAAGATTGGGATGTTGAAGAGAGGAGAACGTTGGTGTTTATGAGGGACGAAGAAGGGTCTGCCTCATCACCTTCACGTTTACTCAAGTGTAAGGTTTCATATCAAGCTTCTAGGTCATTATTACTGACATCGAGTCTTAGACCCTCAACCGCCATCTTATTCAATCTCTCTCACGCCTTCACCAATACACCTATTCCACTTCTCAGCGCTGTCCTTCAACGCCCATTCCATTCACTTCGACCCTCAATTCGCGCGAGAAGTTGACGGTCATCGAGCACTTCTCGTCCATGGCCCGTTCACTCTTGCTCTCATGCTTCGCGTCCTCAACGATCAAATCGGTGCTGGTGCATCCGTCCACAAGTTCACCTACAGAAACTACGCGCCTTTGTACGTCAATGAGCGCATGAGCATCAATATTCGCAAGGTATCGAAAGACGACGGCGCTGAGGGACGATGGGATGTTTGGATTGAGGGACCAGAAGGAGGAATGGCTGTCAAGGGAACAGCGGACGTTATCAGCAAATAAGGACGAATTTAAGACGATGCTTTAATTTGCTATGGATGATATGACTGGATACAAGAAAATGCCGACATGCTACAATATGATTGTCTAACCAAAAGACTGACATGGACTAAACGCCCCAGATGACACCGCTCTATCCTCCATTATCCTAATTTTCGTTTCTTTCCTATTGATAGATAACACAAGAGTTATTCTGCTTAAAATGCGACAGAACCCCTTATCTGTACACACATCATACACGTTTCTACCCATCAACGCATCTAATCAGCCCATCCAAACACCTCGCCAAGAGACAAGGTGTTGCTACGCAGACCAGTCAGAGTGACAAGAATGGTCACCAGATCAAGCACAAGCAGGACAGTGCTCGCGAGCATGAAGCGAGGGCTGAAGACACGGTAGAGCATCAGGTGACGACGCAGCCAGCCAGCCCAGCTCATAGTAGCCAGGGCTTCAACGGCATAGTAGGTGATGAAGACACCAATGCCACGGGTGGCTGTCTCTAAAACTCCCTTCTGCTTTGGACCAACCTTCCACAGAGCGAGGAGTGGTACAGACGCAGCGGCGATGATCTGGCCTGCAAAGCTGTTAAGGATGACGACGATAGGTGTCCAAGGGTAGCGAATGTTGAAGAGAGGGATGAAAGCGCTATCCCACTGAATGCTGGACAAAACAGCCTGATGGCCAGTCTTGAAATAGTAGAAGTTTCCAAGTACAGCGAGCATGATGGGCCCAATAGGGCTCGTCTTGAGCTCGTTGAGATCCAAAAGCTCAGCCAATGTAAGAATCTGCCAAAACATAAGAGCAAGAGCGCCACCGCCCATGGGCTTCGAGAGGAGGAAGCATCCCAAAAGAAGGTTGAGAGGGAGCAACAAGTAGCGAGCACCAATAGCGTTACCATACCCAATAATAGTAACAACGGGACGGCCGCCAGCTCCAGCAGATTGAAGGAGAGACACGCAGGGAGGCGCCCAAACAAAAGCAGTGCTTCCGGCAATGAAGGCGAGAGCGAGGACAATCTGGGCCAAGTAGACTCCAATGGTCTTGGGGGTTCCTTCAGCGAGACGTCCCTCGAGCCAGCCTCCATTGTCAGCAGCATCGATAACCCAGTACATGGCAGACAAGAACAGGCCTCCACGGATGACATAGCCAATCCAAGTTGGGGCAAGACCCTCATACGACCTGCTTGTGACAAGGAACGATTTGATAATAGCTGGGAGAATAAGGCACACAGCAAAAGGAATGGAAAGCTGCCAAATCGCAGAGGTTGAAGAGGTCGAAGACGCGTAGTATGTAGAAGTGCAGTAGGGCATCTGCTCCTCGCGACAAAGCTTGGAGTACGAGGCGAGACGGCCGAGAATGATGAAGGCAACAGAGTGGTAGATGCCCAAATATCTCTCCCGTCGAGCCTCAATGCGGAATGCGGAGACGGCACTGGCCACACCAAAAGTAGTAATGAAGAAGAGGAGGATCGAATCTTCCCAGATAGTGTAGGAGTTGGAAGCGAATCCGATCGATTGGCTGACAGTGAAGATCACAGCCAACCAACCCCAGAAAGTCGAGGGGAAAACATTGAGAATAGTTCTACCTGCTTCATGCAGGGAAGAGCTGAGACCAGCCATGAAGAGAACCGCAATGAGGGCGACAAGGCCCTCGATAGGCTGCTGACGATACAGACCGACACCCGTAAGCACGGAGAGAGTGAAAAGAATCTTGGGATCCCAAAGACCCTTGAGAATCTGCTTGTGCAAGACTTCCGCAGCCTCAGGCTCGTTCTCCTTGAAAGCCATGAGTTCCAACTTCTTCTCGGCATAGTCAAGCTCAGCGTCATTCATAATAACGTACTCATCTTCCTCCTCCCGAGAAGAGTACATCAAGAGCAAGACGAGACCAACGCCAAAGACAACAATACCCATGATCATACGAGGAACATCGAAACGTGCCCAGAGGTCCTTGCAGACAGACAGAGTAGTCTCCTGGAACTTGGTGAAGGCAACGTAAGCATCGCGATCATTCTTGGCAATGGCGAGAGCAGCCTCCCAAAGAGCAGCAGGAGACTCGGCTCCTTCGCCCTGAGTCAGGCCTCGAGCCTTGTGGTAAGATGCCTGGTATCTCTCAATCCCAGCAGCAGCAACACGCGAAACAGCGTTGAGGTTACGCCAGTCGTTGCCCTTAGTACCAGCGAACGCCTCCTCAATCGGTCCTCCCAGGTTATTAAAGGGAATAGGAATTCCGAGAAGCAGCGCGAGGGTAGGAACGAGATCAATCTGGTTGACCGGTCGAACCTTGGCGTTGGGCGGAGGAACAGCAAAGTCGGAAGAGGTTCTGCCAAAGAACGGCTTCTTGGAGTACATCCATAGAGCAGCCTCAACCTCGTCGTCGCTCTCACCACCGTGATCACCCTTGCTATCCATACCGTGATCTCCCATAACAACAAGAAGCGTCTTGTCATCAATGCTCTCGACAAGCTTGCGGATAAACTCGTCCATCTGGCGAAGCTTAGCTCCCATAGCTGGGTGGTCAGGTCCGTATCGGTGGCCAGCATGATCAACACCAAGACAATGTCCAATAAGAAGATCCCATTCGCCCTTTCGCTCCTTGTTCAATAGTGGGAAGATGTTGTCAATGACGCCGTTATCAACAGTGTGAAGATCCCAGACGTTGAAGCTGTCATAGGCCTTGCTAATATTGGGCTCGAAGTAACCAGGGAAGAGAGACCACCATGTATCATCGCCAAGGTGAGCAATCTTCTTGCCAGCGTCCTTCAGCTGCATCAACAAGTTATCCTCCTCGATAGCCGCGCCAGCAAAGTTGCTTCCAACATCGACGAAAGTAGGCAATGTTCCCGTCGTAAGGCCCTTGAGTCTCTGCATCGTCGCGGTTGGAGGATCAGCGATAAAAGGGCGAAGGAAGGCATTCTGGGGCGACTTGACAGCTGTCTCGTAGAGGTAAGGGAAAGCATTGTGGAAGTGCTGAGCTTGCGCCGGATCTTCGGGAACAGTAAAGTCGTAGCGAAGCGCGTCAATTAGAACGACAACGGCTCTGTCGAACGATTTAGGGTGCCAGCAACCGCGATCGACGTTCAATGAACCCTTGGTGTTCTCAATTGGAGGCAGTGTGCAGTTTGACTTGTCCTCCAGAACCAGTCGTGTCAACAAGAAACCGCTTGTAAAGAGCCAGATGCCGAGCGCGTGTATAGCTAGCAAGACGACCCAAAAAGCAGTAGTCCATCGCCAGCGCTTCTCATATGTCTTTTGCCGTCTCTTGTCGAGCGCCTCGCGTCGTCGCTCTAGAACCTCTACGTTCTCTTCGGCGGGAGGGAGTCCGAATTTCGCATTAGCAGCTTGTTGAGCAGCGCGAGCTCTTTCAGCTTTGGCCCATTGTTCCGCGATCTTTTGATGCTCGGTTTGGGGAGGCTGCTGCTGCTGCTGAGCCTTGGGCTTGGCCTTTGGCTTTTGTGGCATCTTGAATGTTCGTAGTTAAAGTTAGGGAACGTAATCGCTACCGAAGAGGAGGAATTGGGGCCAGGTTCAGAGCCATTGAGATGCACAAGCGGCGCAAGATTGATTAAACAAAAAAAGGAAGAAGGAAAAAGGAAAGAAGAAAAGATTAAATGACGATAGTGGTCTCTGTTGTGAGGGACTTGAATGTTTAGCAGAAGAGCTGTCGACCCTGGTGGATTGTCTAGTGGAGCTCTGATGGAGGAGAGTGGAGTCATTAGAATTGGATGCTGACGAGGGACGGGAGCTTCAACACCAAGATCGATGTAAGCCAATCATCACAGGTTGTTTCAAGTCACTCTAAGTGTATTACTTTAGGTCGAAAGTCATTACATCACAGCAAGTTCATTAATATACACACTTTATCTGTATGAGAGAAGCGCAATTCTGAATTCGTTATCGTCAATCCTATGTGGATCCCTCCAAACTCTAGTAATAAGAAAGTTGCCGTATATCAAGTTCATTCTCAAGCCAATCAATTCGTTCATTGACATCAGTATCGTCCTCCAAGTCTATCTGCAAACATTGAAATCGACGTGACGTGACATTACTAAATTCACAAATCTCCCTCCAAGAACGCCGCCCATGCTAGGATCCCGTCCCACGATGCATATCTTTTCTCCAGCCAATCGCTTACCAGTCAGCTCGAAGTTGACAGGTAAACGAGAGACATCAAACTCTCAATTCTCAACCTTTTAGTCAAACATGTCGACATTGGTAGTGGCAGGTGGTTCAGCAGTAGGTCCGCTTGCACGTCTCCTTTCGAGTCGTCGCCGTTGTCGTCGATTTTCTGCTGCAGCCGATCCGTCGACTGGCCCTTCCCCAGCAGGTCCAGGGGGTGAGGTGTTGACAGATGGGGTGATACCACTCCAAGTGCCATGGCTCTCAGCCAAACTAGACACTGTTTGGCCAAACTGGGCCGAGGCGCCTGGAAGTAGCGACGCTGGTGTTTGTGCCTGAGTTGGTTGTCCGGAGTAATACGCGGAGTCTTTGCCTCGTCGTTTCTGCTTCGCAAACGAAGGGTTCGGGGGGGACAGAGGCGGCATGGCATCCTCCTCTTCTGCTCTTCGCTCGGCGGCCGTCTCAGCTCGCTTTTGGCTGGAGTCTCTTCGGTAACGTCGGCGATACGAGGGAGACTCGAGTCCAGAGATGCTGCTTGCAGAGTCTCTTCGGCCCCGCGCTGCCTTTGCTTCCTCCTCTGTAAGTCGTCGGAGGGTTACGTTCCTGTCTTTATCATCATGTACCTTCATCTTGACACTGACACTGGCTGGGGATGCATAGCGTTCGTAACGCGAATCTTCCTCGCCTGGGGCAAGTCTTGATGTATCTCGGTCACCGGGCCGGCCTTGACGGGACCGCTGAGCCCGAGATCCTGGGGATATTCCTGAGGCCGTGGTTTCAGTGGGTGCCAGGATACCGTGGGGATCAGGTGGCATCGCAGGCATTGAGACATGCTCACTGCTGCGTCTCGAGTGGTTTCCTGCACGGCCGGCCGCGGGTGGGAGATTTGATTGTGGGGGTAAAGTGCTCATTTCAGTAGGTGGGACGTAGTTACCTCGTGCAGGCCTGGGCTCAATGGTCGATTCCGACATCTCGGTTGATAGAAGCGTGTCCGTGGGAGGATAGCCTGTTTGTCGACGTTCGATGGGCCGGCGAGTGTCTCGTCTCGTGGGAGAGTCGTGTCCGTCACCGGTAAACCTGGACAATGAGGTACCGGATCTCAAGTCCTCTTCATCACGTAAGCGCTGCTCTTCCTTTGCTGCCCTCCTGTCCGCCATCTTCTTCGCAAACCATCCAAAACCAAGGCCACCTAGCAGTCCTTTCGCAAAACCACCACCAGACTTCTCAGGCTGCGGTCGTCGAGAGGGGCTGACATAGGAAGAATAGTCTGACTCTTCGAAGAAGCTGCGACCTGAATTTGGCGGGTATCGTTTGCCTCGAGGGGTCACAGATGGAGGAGGGGAGCTCAGAGCAGTCTCGGTATAACTTCCATCAGCAGCGCTCCGCATCTGCGACATTGCGGGGGGTGGCGGGCGATTTCCAGAGGGAGGGAGCAACGAAGTACGAGTGATATCAGGTTCTCTTCTATTGTTGGGTGTTACATCGCTGGTAAAATCAGTCCTGGTAAAGTCAGTCATAGTTGGAGCGCTCGCGGTTGCGCGATGGCGTCTGGGTGTTTCAGTGGAAACTGCAGAATACTCGGAGTAGTCTTCATCTCGTGAGCGATCCTTTTTGGAGAAGAGTTTTCCGAGTCCCAGGACGGCCAAGAACTTTGCGATTCCACCTCCGGCTCCAGCTCCGCCATTGTCCTTCCGCGTTACATCGGAATACTTTTCCCCGGTATGCCCAGTGAGGTAGCTAGCTGATCCGGTCCTAGATGGGAGAACTTCCGGTCTTTGGCTGCGATCAAAGGAAGGGGATCGACTTCGGACTCGACTGCCATTGTCTTGGTTTTTGTTCTTGTTTCGTCCTCTGGCCAGGGCTGCGAGTCCACCGAGTGCGATAAATGGGCCTAGCCATTTGGCTTTGCTCTTGGGAGGCTCCGATTTGTACTCTGAGAAATATTCAGACTCTGTGTATCGAGTACGTGTATCTTCTGTTGGCGCCAACTCAGACCGCATTTCTGAGCGTGCTCCACCCATATAGTAGTCCCGATGGGAAGCAGACCGCCAACTCAAGATGAAGTACAAAATAAAAAGAAAGAACATCCAGACAGCGTAGAGAATGAACAGGTAGAGTGGCGAGCCGTACAAGGTGAGTCCTAGGGGAACCTGAGTAATGCCTAAAAGGGCAATCGCTCGACCGAACCATTGGTGAATCATGATACGCAAAGAGATGGACTTAGCCACCCTTCGTACGATCCAACCGCCCATAAGTTGAATCAGGAAAAGAGTAAATATGGCGACACCAATTCCATGATGCGGGTTCGTCAAGCTTCGTTCCGGCCCAACCGCGAAGTAGCCAAGGATAAAGACAGGCACCAGCAACAAGCCCGAAAAGACATTGAGTTGACCGTGATATTTGATGGCCCAGCCAGGACGCCTTGAGTAGAATCTGGCTGTCATGACAGAAAAGGGGATGAGAAACAGGAAAATTATAGTTCCCAAAACGGCATGTGCTAGTACAAGGCCATGATATTGTGTAAGTGTAGAAAATCTGTTTCCCATGCCTATCACCTAGCGTTAGTCGAATCCAATGCTTAAACTCGAAAGACGGGCATGAATACCATTGTAACGCATGGTTTCATGATTGAGACCCTGTAAATTGGGGAGTAGAAATGTATTTTTATCGAAATCCCACGTTCCATCGCCCACGACTTGGGTGTTTGAATCATAACTCACTGCACCAGGTGCAGAGAGTTCATCGGTTGCCGGCGCCATGATGGCGACGACAGTAAGGAAAGTTGTGTTTCAGGCGGGATTCGGATGTCTCGCGCGGTGAAGTTTAGAGGTATTTTTGGATCCTCGTAGCGTTTGGTGTGGTTCTTGTCTCGAGATCGGAATGAAGGAATGTTGTTGACGACCTCGCAAAATGCCTGTAGGTGTAGGTCGAGAAGCGAAAGCGATGTCGGATGTCTTAGGCTAAGAGTTCTAGCACAAACATCTTGCCTCAGATCCGCCGTAGTCGTAAAATCGAAGAACTAGAGGCAAAAATAGGAAATGCCTAGAGGTTTGTGTAGGTGAAAAGAAGCTACAAAAAAAGGTAGGTACGCAAGCCAAGCTTGAAGACTTGAGTCCTTCCGTTTGGGAGGGAACTCTTCCTGTCACCGTCACCGTTGCCAGTTGCTAAGGGTAGGGATGGTTGGTGGGGAAACCGCGGCGCAAGCTAGGCTAGCCAGCGCATCCCATCATCATCCGTACCTGCCAGGTTTGGAGCATTTCGTAGATATTTGTGGGCTATGATACGTATTGCCCGATAGTGGGGCCGTCAGCGGTGAAGAATGGAAACGGCGGCCCGTTGAGTTTGTAGACGGGAGGCTTCATCAATAAGGTAGCATTGTATTGGATGTGACGAGTACCTCTTCTATTCAATCTTTTTTACTGGTATGAACTCAACTGAGTTACGGTGCACAAAATAGGCGATACCCTAAAGCTAATTCAATCTAAGAAAAGCCTCGATCCTAGTTTGCTCTCGAAAGATTTAGTTCCTCTTGGTACTCAAGTATGACTCGCCTCGTTCTTCACCGTATCTGTGCTCGATCAGTGAACCCACATAGTATTTCTCAAAACTGCAATATGCTTCGGCTCCGATTTGACACTTGTCAAGCTTTTCACCATGAGGCTGTTTAGACCACTAGGAGTTCGCAGTGCCCGATGCAATACGTCCCAGGCCGTGCGCTGTTCCAACGTGTCGGCCCAAGTTCCGTGTGATCCGCTGCGATGGTACCTGAAAATGGCAGTCAAGGTTCCCATGATCTCTGGATGATGCTATTACGCAGTGTTCATCTTACTGAGAAGTTAAGGCTTTGGTTACCTGAGAGATGTGTAAAATCTGGAGTTTGTACTATTGTGCTGCCGGGATCTACAAGGTCATGCAGCTGAGCTGCCACAGAGTCACACCAAAGATCTCTCCACAGACAAATGCACCATTTATGCAGCCAAGAACTGCACAAATCGTTCCTTTTTCTGTCACTTTCACTAATGAAGGCCAGCTGATTAGTGAAACAATTCTTATGAAACGGTCCCTTGATGCTGCCCCACCATTTCCTAGAACATGGCAACATGGGTTGTCGAAGGATTGGGAGGAAATGTGCCAACAAAACAAAGAAATGCTCCAGAATTTCGAGAAGTTTGGAACCTTGATGATGATAGATGATGATTTTACAAGCAATTCCTCTACTGATTATAGGTCCTAGCCCTTAAAACCTCAAGTTTGAAGACAGTAGCATCTCTTAGGACTATATCTGTAAGCTGGTGATTAGTCTATTGTGTGTTTCCTCAGCGTGTACTACACCCATGTAACATCATTTATCTAAGACTGAATTCTGATCCTACGAACCAGCTTACACGCACAGCTACAGAGCATCAAATGATAGTGCTGTGCTATGAAGGCATGAACAATTTCCCGTATCATGTTATTAACGTTTGTTTCACTCAAGCAAAATGGCCTGTAAGTGAAGAAATGTCCCAACATCAAATTCCGTTCTTTACTCTCTCGTTGACTTCTACGTAATTTGATATGCGGATATCTGCCTTCATCACCGCCGTCGCGGTCCTCACTTCGTCTGCCAATGCATGGCTTCCTATGACTGAACCCCATGGTTTAAACAAGCGTGACGATGAAATCTTTGTACACCCTCTTCGAACAGAACCAAATAACAAAAGGTGGCTTCCAGCAACAAAAAAGATTCGAGGAGTAAACCTTGGGTCTCTTTTCATCTATGAGCCCTGGATCGATAGCCAAGAATGGGCCAACACAGGTTGCGAAGGAGAAAAGTCCGAATTTGATTGTGTTATGAACAAAGGACAGGACGTTGCGGACAAGAACTTCCAAGCTCACTGGAAACGTTGGATTAACCAAACCGATCTTGACGAGATGCTAAGTTATGGCCTAAACACTATTCGTGTGCCTCTAGGATATTGGCTAAAGGAAGATCTTGTTGATGATTCAGAGCACTTCCCCAAGGTATATAACAATACCGCCCTCTTGATAGGCTGTAGCTAACATTTGGAGGGTGGTTTGGAATACTTGACTCAACTCTGTAGTTGGGCCAGCGGCCGAGGCTTCTACATCATTCTCGAGTAAGTATCTCAACAGGATCGCAACCGATGCTAACTGTGAGATAGCCTACACGGCGCTCCAGGTGCTCAAGAACCTAACCAGCCTTTCGCAGGTCAATATGCTCCCACGGTTGGATTTTACAATGACTACAACTACGGGCGCGCGATCGAATGGCTCGAGTGGATGACTGACATAATCCACACCAAGAAAGAGTATCGCAATGTTGGCATGCTTGAGCTAGTCAACGAGCCGCTAAACTGGGACAATGCCGTTGATTCGTTGCGAAAGACCTATTATCCCAAGGCCTACAGTGTATTTGATTCTCCAACCATCGACTTAATCCGATACTGACGATCCATAGGCAATCCGTAAGGTTGAGGATAAGCTCAAGGTCACCAGCAACAACCGCCTTCACATTCAAATGATGGGTTCCCTATGGGGAAGCGGAAAGCCAACCGAGTTCCTCAGTGATACCTCATTCACAGCTTTCGATGATCACCGATACCTAAAGTGGGACACAAGTGTTAAAGTTTCCCACGACGCATACATCAAGAAATCTTGTTTCGATGATCGCAACACTGACGGCCCCACGATCGTTGGCGAATGGTCCCTAGCTGTGCCCGACAATGTTGAGAAGACTGATGCTTGGAATCCTCAGGCTCAGAAGGAGTTCTACACCAAGTGGTTCTCTGCTCAGGTGCATGCGTATGAAAAGCATACTCTGGGATGGGTCTTTTGGACTTGGAAAGCTAATCTTGGTGATGACTATCGCTGGTCTTATAGAGGTGAGCTTAAGTTTCCAAAATACGCGAGATGATCACTAATAGTAGTAGATGCGGCGAGAGCTGGCGTAATTCCCAAAGACCTCGACTCCCTTCCTAGTGTCTGTTGACGAGCTACATCCTGTGATCCCTGGGCAAGACGATGCAAGAATTTATTGATGCTACTTATTAGATCCATTGTACTTATTCTATCTGAGACCCGATTAAACCATCGCTATATAAGACTGAACTAACCTTTTGAAGAATTACAAAGAAAACTTGCGTTCCAATGAACAGGCGAAATTACCTTCTCAATACCAGAACCAGCCATGATGCCAGTCGGTATCCAGCAATGATAGAAATCATAATGCCAACATTTCGTCCCATATGTCCGTTCGAATATCCATACTGGTTCAACACAGCCTGTCCATCGATCTTACACTGGTCCGCTAGGGTTGACTGATACATGCAGCGGCATCCGTCACCGCAGCTGTAAACTCGATCCGCAAACTCATTGACCATCATACCCTGGAACACATACTTCTGGTAATCCCAGTAGTGGAAGACGTATTTGTAGAAGACATTGAGGATAGTCGGAGGAACCATGAAGCCACCAACAGACATCCACAGACCATTCGCAAATGCCACCAGTGCGAGGGAGATGACGAAGCTGGGAAATAGGGATGTCATAAAGACAACAAGTGACTCTGCAGCCAGTAGATCGAGGAACAGCCACAGAACCCAGGTAAAGAAGGCCTTTGCGGTTGGCTGGAAATTGGAAAGCCAGTATGAGATGACCGAGAAAAGAATAGAAATAAGGAACAGGTAAGGAACGCCGATAAAGAAGTTGGATATAATAAGTTCCGCTGCTCCGTAAAGGCCATTCTGGTGTTCTTTGACGTATTGAAGGCGATCCTCAATAAAAGCAGGAACATAAGCCACAGCCATGAAACTCATAAAGGCTGAGCCGAAAAAGATAGCGTTGATGAATGGCTGAATAGACTCTTGCGTAGGGTCGAGTCTTACCCAGACAGTGCCCATCATGATAGCGAGACCAAGATACATAGCTATACGGATACCGTAGGCTACAACGTCTCGATAACTCTTGATGAAACTTCGATGGAGAAGAGTCAGCGTAAGACTAAACATGCTAGGCCTCTTCTCAATCGTATCAAGGTTCCAGTCACCACCCGAAGATTCGGCAGACTTGATTGCAGTGTTGACTTGACTGGCTTGTCGTGAGTTTTTCCATGCGGCTTGAAGTGTTTCCAAGTCTCGTGATGCCTCGCCTCTATCCTGGGCAAAGTCAATATTGACCAGCTCAAGAAGATGTTCAGCAGGGTTGACATATTGAGGTAGTGGAGATCCAACTTCGGCGTAGTATGCCGCGACACTGTTTACAGGTCCGAAGTAATGTGTCTTTCCGCCAGATAGTAGGAGCAACTTGTCGAATAAGTTGAAGGTCGAAGTGGATGGTTGATGGATGGAGCAGATGACGATAAGGTTGTTGCGCTTGGCCACATCGCGAAGATATTTGACAACTTCTAGGCTGGCAGCTGAGTCGAGGCCACTCGTAGGTTCATCGAGAAAGAGAAGCTTGGGACTGGTGATAAGTTGACTCGCAACACCGACTCGACGTTTCTGACCACCTGAGATACCCTTGCGAATAGGCGTTCCAATGAGAGTGTTGGCTTGTTCGACTAGACCGAAGGACTCGAGGAGGTTGTTGATGCGGACGATTCGTTCTTTCTTAGACAAAGAGCTATCCAAGGTCAGATACTATCTTGAGGCTGAAAATACAATATGCTTACCTTGAGCTGGCGAGTCGCGATGAGAACTCGAGTGTTTCTCGAACAGTCAAGGATCCAATAAGAGCGTCCTCCTGTTCAACGAAGCACGAAACTTCTCTGAACTCAGCAAGAGATAAATGACTTCCATTGATATCGACCTCTGCTTGGACACTGCTGGCATTCGTTGGGCGACGTGCCAGTACGTTTAAGAGGGTTGTTTTTCCACAACCTGAAGGGCCCATGAGGGCGCAAATCTCGCCTGTAGATTCATTAGCTTGATAAAGGCTAAGAGTGGTGGTAATCACAAACCTGCTTCGACTATGCCTTCAACGTTGTCAACAATTGCCTTGGGCTGTTTTGTTTCTCTGTCTTTGACTGTTACAGTCACGTTGCGCCAGGTGAAATTCTTAATTGTAGTGTTGAGCAGATGTTTTTCTGCGACAGGACGTTGCTCTGAGTCCATGCTGTTGTCCAAGTCGGATGACTTACGGGCCGTCATTTTGATGGCTTCAAGATTAAGCAGTAGAGATAAAAGGAGTTAGAGAGGACTAGTAAATGTAATAATTGATTGTTTCAGTGATGCCAAGAAAAGACAGCTTAAACCTTAGGTTCTTATATGTGAGATAATACTGCAACCACCAGAAGAATTTAATATAAGGGGACACAAGACACTGTCTCATCTTTCGGCCTCTTGACTATAGCCCGTGTCATCCACCAATTTTCAGCTGAAGCAAAAGGTGCGCGACTGGTAAATTTTGATTGCTTACTCAAACTCCGCCACAACCTTTTTGGGACTTTGAGCTGACGTATGTACTACTGCTTTTATTGCTATAGAACTTGTTAAACCTGAACATATCTCCGAGTGGAAGCGGACGATAAACAAGAAGCAGATCAGAAAGACCGATATCCGAGATCCGGCTCATACCTCTCTCGTGTCTAGATTCTCTGTATAGTGATCAAATGCCGAGTTATCAGATAAGTGCAGGGTTGCAGGTTGTGAAACTGGGTCCAGGCATAGGTAAGCAATCTCGGGGTCTAGATTATTTCTTTTCGTATTACTCGTGCATGTGAATTCAGCTTCTGAGTAAGATTGTGCCCAGTTCCTGAATCCGTCCCGACTTGTTGGCTCCTTCATGTGATTGGCTCGTGATAGCTCAATTCCCGAGCAATAGGGCTGAATCTCGACCAGGGTCGCCGACGAGCCGAAGATTCGACATCGCCGAGGGCCGTTCGTTTTAAACAGCGACGGCAAGAATATAAAGCTTGTTCTTGATCTACATTAGAAATCCCGTATCTTTGGTATCTAAGAATCAAGCCGACTTATCCGGGCTTCATCATCTTCAACTCAGTATTCTCACCTCTCACTTGTATCGTATGCGCAGAGATGCCATGCCGGAAATAACATGTATCTTGAAATATCTCCATAGGGTTACAATACATAATAGCAGTCTAACTAATTCTCATAACACATGTAACTCTTTGCATCTATACATCTTATCCAATGCAACAATACGTCAAGGTCTCTTTGCTTGAAGCTGCTAGCCAAAACACCTTGCTTTAAATCAAGTTTCAAGTACAATTCTCTCTTGAGAGCCCTATAATGTTCAAGTCCACTGCTTGTTCCCATGATCTGTCCAATGACCCATCATACCAGGCACAACCTGCATATCCTCAAACTCATGAATCATAGCATCGTCCGCCGCAATTCTATCCATCGCTTCATCATGTGTGGTACTGATCCAAAACTGAGGCGTTGACCTCTGTTGCTTCTTGACCTGGTAGATTCCTCGAGCCATGCTCTTCACAGAACTACTCTCACGCTCTGAAGCGCTCCATACCAAAGACATTCGTGAGAGAGCACCAATGTTAAGCCGAAGCACCTGGCGTAGATTGTTCTCGGTGTCGGGCGTAAATATAGCCCATCTGTTGAGGTGGATTATAGATGACATTGTGACCGCGTAACTGAAGAAGTGGCTGTGAGAAAGTAGCGAGACACGATGGGTGACAAGCTTGCTAATCTCTATCGCGGCCTGCATTATGCTTTTCGTATGATTGTTGAAGTCGTCTGCTGCTGACACAGAATCGTGCTGGTCGGTTTGGTTGTTTGACTGGCTCGATAATGAATTCAGCTGTGAGTATGGTTGATGAAGCAGGATTGATGTAGCGTGAGTTATCATGTGAGCCTGAAACAACATCTCATCTAAATGACCATATTGACGTAAAGTGTCTGTCTTCGATTTGGGTAAGCTGAGCCGCCAACTTGTCAACATCGTCTGAATATTTCTGAGGCTTTCGTCGTCGGGTCCAGAAACGGGAGGGATTCTCAAGAGTCTTCCGAGGTTTTGAACCGATTGTATTCGATACGCGAAAGATGAAAACTCATGGTTTGTGCTGGAGAAATCACTCTCGTTCATATCCCTCAGATACATTGGCTCAGGAATGTCCTATATAAGGTCACAAGTCAGAGAGATTCCACCATATGAAGAAACTAATATCTTACACCACACAGATATTCATATTCCTCGCAAGGCAAGGCAACATCAGAAGCTACATCGAACAGCAAAAAGTTCGTGTTTCGATGGACTCCAGCGATTAGCCCGTCCACAATAAAAAGCTCCCACCACGTCCGCCTCCAACTCTCTTCCATCATTGGAATGCCTCTCCCGTAAGTAGTCGCATATGACCGCGTATTGAGACCAATATCCACAGCAATCCTTTCTAGTCCAGATAATATTTGTCGAGCTTGCTCCTGTTGGCCTTGTCCATCCAAGCCAATCAGAAGGAGTAATAAAGCTTGCACCAGAAAGCCATCCTTGCGACGGCGCGGCTCGTAGATGAGTTGATGAGCTTCCTGGAAGAAACGACCCCGCTCTGAACATGCCGGAATATGTAATGAGCCAATCCAGCGCATTACAGCGAGTACGGGCATCACAGAACTCTCGTGAGAGATCATCAGAAGCGACTCCTTCGGTAACACAAAAGGATGGGCGGCATGGAAATGGTTGTAAAACGAGTCGATACAGCGTTCGGGTAGAGTCAGTGCAGGGACATGCGTCACAACATGTTCGTGTTGGGGATTCGCGAACAAGTTGAACATATCAGTTGAAGTATCTGCAGTATCGTAAGGTCCAAAGAAAGACATATCGCTCTCCATGCTGTTGCTGGCGTCCAAGGCAGGATCGAGAAAAGGTGTTGATAACGGTGAGTTGAACATGTCGTCGCCCATATTAGGGCTCGGAAATAAGGATGAGCCCAGTGAAGCAGAACGTTCTGGTCTTGATGTCGCTGAGCTTTCGCCACTACGTGTTCGTGTTCGAGCTGGAGATACTCCATGTTTCTTG